ATGACCGCAAGAGGAGACCTCAGTGACTTTGAAAATGGGGCGATTGTTGGAGTGCATTTGGGAGGAACTTCAGCGACCAAGGCAGCTCAACTAGCCGATGTTTCACAAGTAGTGGTGTCTGAGGTGATGTGGGCATGAAAACTCTGAAGGAAAGACATCAATAGTGGGTGGCAGCTCATCCTATCAGGATTGTGATATCTGGGCAGTAATTAAAAGTGCAAAAAAAAGAGGTGAGGAACTTCACATCAATTGACTGCAGAATTCACCCTGGGGTGCAGCCAGTTTAATCAAAAACTGTGTGCCGAGAGCATCACAGAATGTGAAACCACAGCCAGATTGCAGTGCGCAAATTGTTCATCAGACCTGTCAGCGCTCATTTATGAGTTCTGTGATGCGATGGACTACAGATCAGCAGAAAAATGCAAGATGGACCGATGAATCATCCTTCACCATGTGCTCACCAATTGGATAAGGGCACCTGTCGAGCCAACCTAAAAAAACACTACAGCCCAGAGTGCTTGTTTCCCACAGTGAAGGGCTGTACAATGTTGTGGGGCTCGTTTTCCTGGTATGGTTTGGGTGCATTCATTCCTTTAGAAGAGAAGATCAGTGTTAAGAGTTACTTATTGGCACTAATGAGCATCTTCACTCCAAGCTGCAGCATTTCTTTCCTGATGGGAGGGATGTCTTCCAGGATGACAATGTCCCCATCCACAGAGCTCACTGGTTTGATGAGCATGACACTGTTATCCATATGTAATGGCCATCTCAGTCACCAATTCTGAACTGAATCATGCAATTACAGGACATTACGGAATGACACTTAAGACCATGTTTTCCCACCTCCATTAGCCAGGTATGAGCTGACTGACTTTCTGATGGAAGAATGGTGCTGCATCCCTCCTGCAGAATTGCAGACCCTGGTAGTCTCTCTGCTGTGGCTCATACAGACCATACTGGCCCATGTGGTGGCCCAGCGCCCTATTAAGTGACTTTACATGGGTGTTTCCATTTTTTTGTCCGCTACCTGTAGCTGGAAATAGCAGTTCAAACTTTCTACCTCCTTACCATAAACATGGTTTTGCAAATTTTACACCCTTGTAGCAAAGGGCTGTAGTTCTTTGAAGATGCTTTATCCTTTGCATTTGAAACCAGGTACACACGATGCAGCTCTCTTGTCTTCTATCCCTAATCCCACATTTACCTGGCAAGCTTTTAGACTGTTAGCAAACCCTTCCTCATCCTGTAGTCTATACTTCTGTACAGTGCATCAGCATATATGCTTCATGTCTTAATGTACATCTGTACAGTTTTAAGACCTTTATCATTTGTGTGACCAAAAAACAAAGACTGATTTAGCATATTCCTTTCAAATCCATTCCAGAGAGCAAATTGTATAATGCTATCTGTAACTATTTGTTTCTTATTTTCTCCAGGGCAGCTTAGAAATAATTTTCTCTCTCATCCCGTTTTGTGTCAGTGTGTTGTTTGCACCTACAGTATGTTTGTGAGACTCTAAGCAATTGTATAAATGTGCTGTGTTGCTCATTCAGTTCTCTGTCTGAATCGTGTTGCTGCTGGGTGTTCCATGGGTTTTCATTTTTGCCATACACGTAGCTGTATTTTCAGTACTGTGATTTAAGAGCATGTGAAAGATTTAATAACGAGGCCATGTAGCCTGTCATGCTGTTTCTGTTCTGACTGGCTTCTTGAACCAGCTGTTGATCGTACTATTAAATCATCTTGCTGATGGGCACAGTGTGTGTCAGAAGTTCACATGGCCATCCATAGCCAGTTACTTGACATTTGTGAGCAGTTTAGCCAGATGCTGGTTTGATACATATTTGGATCTCTAAAGAAAGAGGCAGTTTCAACGTGAGACTTTTGAGGCAGCCATACCTTTTTTTATGTGTTTTAACTTTGAACATCCTGCCACGTGACATTTTGTATGTATTGTACTATCGAGGACGAAAAGTTATTTGATGTTATCTATAATCCAATGTAATAAGGCTCCTTCGTATTACTCACTGAACCAGGTTGAATTATTATTTTGTATAACCTCATGATCTAATTTTTCCAGCAGTACATTTTTACAGGTTTGCCAAGTCTTAAACTGAACAGCTGTCTTCTTGTCCGCCTCTCTCCATTTGTCAAAGGTCGTACCATGTGTTTTTTTTAATACTCTGCTTGATTGCACTTGGCAATAGATGTTGCTCATGAGCAGCCTGTGAAGCTGTGTGAAAATAAATGTTCCAAACTGCTCCACATGACTCGTTCTCCAGTTTTTGTGTTAGCAGTTGAAAATGCTGAATTGGTAACTGTACCAGGTTTGAAAAAGTGAACTCTGAAGACTTCACTTCTTGATTTCTTGAATTCCCACTGAGAGGTCAATGCCTATCCTACTTGTATGTCTTTTAAAGTTGTGTTTGGGGTCAGAAGGCGGATCAGAACCACAAGGCTCAGCCCAACAGAATGCAGTAATGGTACTGCATTAGGAATGGGTCATTGAAACTACTTACGGCCTACTTTCACTAACCAGCCTGAGACACCTCTGTCGCTGTGTGCTCATTTGATACTTCCTTACCCTTGGAGCTATACACCACATGTAGCAAGCTCTAGAACCTCACTGTTTTTGTTTTTGATTCATTTAAGCTTTCTGATACTGATTCAACTATTAGGGTGCTCAGTTGTGGAACACAAACTTAATAATGCTTAAGGTGCTCATACAGCTGCTGCTGCTAAAATTTAGCATTACTTTTCTTTGTCATTTCACATATTGACTGATTTGGGTGATGCCTTTAGTCAATGCAACTTTTGTAAATAAAATAATTGCTGTATAAAATGGAAAAAGCATTTAAAAGCAGAGAGGTTAAATCCATGTGTATAAAGCAGCACAGGAAGCTTGTTGGCATAGGACAGGAAATGGTGAGCAAAGACAGTAAGTGAAGTGTGGGAGACGAACCGTGTGAAATAAAAAAGTGACTTTGGAAAGCGGATGGGGGTCAGGAGATGGTATAGAGGAGAATTAACAGCTACAGCACACCTGAGGTGAGGCTGATCAATTTGGCGACTCTTAGCTCACAATGTGCCCTCGCCAATATTAACTTTAAACAAGGTGCCAGACAAAATCATGAAATAAAGCCTTTGCCATTTTTTCTAAATCCAATACTACATACAAGTGCAACTTACTAATAGCAGAATCGGGTGTAGTTTGTAAAGACAAACTCTCTGATGTAGTTTCCCCGTTATTGTTTCTGATGAAATCTATTAAATAGAACACAGGTACAGTAAAGTGATACACTACTTGTCTCAAAAATATTTCTTATTCCAATCATGTCCACCAGGTGGCGCAGGTACCGACAGGCGTTGGTGAGATCGAGTCCCTTTTTAAAAACGGGAAGCTGATGTGCTAGGAATGCAAAGGATGTTGTACTGCTTTTAAAGGGCAGTATAAGTCTTTAATGGCTTAAAACGAATTTGTTTGTTCAGTTTTTAATGGATGCCATCCACGATCCCTATTGCAAAGGCGGTTTGATGCTGTATCCCTACACATTTATTGTGAAAGTCTTTTCACACAGTAACTATATCGGTAACTCACTCATCTCTGGGATATTCCAGAGTCTGGACATAAGAAAGGTTGGGGAGGAGGCCATTCTACCACTATAACACATGAGGTGGCTAAAAGCTAGATGATCCTCGGATCTAGTCCAGCTGGCTCGAGGAAAGAATCCGGAGCATCGAGAACAACAACAGGGCTGGGCTGCACGTTGGGTTGATGCTGTTATCCGAAGCAACTTACTGCTGTCACGATTTACGCAACCAGGACTTGCTTCGGATACACAGGCGCTTTAACTGCACAATATCTACATCTGAAAGGACACAAAAGGGGGAGCAGACCACCTATTGAACTTATTTGGTTCTGTTCCTCTGTAATCTGGAAGCTAGCTCTGGCCGTACTCGGAATCCCCCCCTCCGCCCCCACCAGCATAATATTCATTTCCATTGAACCCCTCCGTCCCCACCGGCGTACGTCCTGGAGAGCCACGGGGGGGGTCTTTTAAAACAACTCATTGCTTAATTTCTTCTGTGATCATGAATAAACTACTATAACTATACTATAACTACTATAGCTTTTTAGCCTTAAAAAGCTCACAAGGAGGCAGTGCTTCTGATTCCCGGATTAGACAAGACCTACTGGTTTCAGAATGACATCTGGATTAGATGACATCTCCTGCCAGAGGTGTCACAGGCAGATTTTAAAACTGGAAAACGTGAATTGTAACTTTACCGCTTGTTGTTTACCCAGCAGGTCCTGGATATATTGTAACAGATTTCTTGATGTCTGCTTTCGTATCAGCTTTTTAGATTTTAGTTCAGTTTCTCTGAAATCAAGATCATTGCAGTTTCAGCAAAGGTCACCCTTCTCAAAGAGCTGCTTGCCTTCGGTTACAGGTCTTCTGAACAGGAAGATGAGAAGCAGACAAATGGCTACTCTGCTTTGTGTGCACCTGAGCTTCACTAGGTGATAAATCCTGGCTGTCGTACAGGACCTGTCTGTGGCTCTCAATAGCTTTCACATGAAATAAAAATAATATGCTGAAAAGAGAAGAAAAGAGACACAGTATTTCGTCTGTGGAGCCTTCTTCAGCTGTATGATGAAATGAAACGAAACATTGTGTCTCTTTTCTTCTCTTTTCAGCACGGAATAAACCTTTACTTGTTCCTTAGCAGCCTACGCATGCTGACGCAGCTACCCAATTAAAAAACATATGTTTAGCAGTATGGAAGAAAAATACATACAGCTTTTCTCTAAAAGGATCCTAATATAAAAATATTGGCATTTACTAGAAATGTTACCACTGATATCCTAAAAGAGAACACCAAAGGAACTATTCTGACTATTTTAAATTAATCTTAAATCACATTCCCGGCATTATCTTGAAAATTGGTTGTTAATACTAGTTAATTTCTGGGCAGATAAAATAGAACTTAGCCTTTTATTAAAAATGGGTATTCTCATTTTTTATTGCTGTTCATCTGGCAGGAATATTGGAAGTAACAGACTGACGTGGAGGCTGTACTGCAGTGCTCTTCCTGCACATTTGCGTGAAGCTTTGTATTGCCTGAGCCCAACATACAGTAGGAAAATGGGATTGTCGCGTGTCAGTCCCATCGGCACTGTGGGGAGGCAAGTCTTCCATCACTTGGCACGTCCCTGCCTTGGCGTGATCACCACGGAGTAGGGCTGGGGCTGCAGGACCACGCCGTATCGGCCCCCGAGGTCGGGCAGCCCGGCTCCTGGGGGGCCGCTGACGGAGAAGCGCTGCAGCAGCCAGCTGGAGAACAGGAAGAGCTCCATCTTGGCCAGGGACTCGCCCACGCACACGCGCGGCCCGGCGCCGAAGGGGATGAAGCTGGCGGGAGAGGACCGCTGGCCCTGGCTGTCCAGGAAGCGCTCTGCGGGAGAGAGCACAGGACAACAGAAGGGAGGCCATTCGCCCCATCTAGCCCGCTTGGAAGTCAGAAAGGAAGGAAAAGCAGACGGAGGACCGGCATTGAAGGCACTCAAAATCGGAAGGAATTAAAATTTGGAACTTTTTTTTCCATCAAGAGTTATTTTTGTCTTTTGAATTCAGTGAGAATGAGACACTGTGATAATACAACATGGTGCTTGGCCACATTATATTCTGTATATATACCATACGAAGCAGTTGTGTTTTCCTACATTGAAGACTTACTATTGAACCCAGAGCCCATAATAATAAAGTACTTTTTTACTTTAGTTTTGTTGTTTTTTTCCTTGAAAAATAACATAGAATTAACACAACCTTATAACAATATAAAGAATTGCAGTCGTTCTCAAGTTCGGAGGCCTTTCTGAGAACAAAAGAGAAAATGGAGTTATCCTTTTTATTTGAAGAACGGTTAAGTCGACTTCTGTCATTTTGGCAACTCAAATTGGCAGCCACCATTGAAATCTCTTCTTTTTGATGGAGAATTGGAGCGCGATATGTAATTAACTATGAATAGATTCGGTGCATGGAAGAGAACGTACTTCCTAGCACTAAGCGATAAGGGCAAACAGTACGTACAGTACTGCCAAGACAAGCAGAGTAGGCTGATTCAGTGATATCTGTCGAGAAAACTGGGAAAAGATATGGCATGAGTAAGCTCTGAATAACAGAATAAACATGTTTCTTTTATGTGTAACCTTTCTTGCCTTCTCTTTTTTTGGAGATGATCATGAATGGGATGGATAGGTTGCCCTGAGAGACTGCTCTGTTCCTTTTTCTGTACTAATCTTATCTGAGTGGTGTGGGGGGGTACATTTAAACAGATTGATGAGATGTGGTGTGGAGCCTGTGTTGCAAAATGAAGCTAGTAAGTGCACTATTAAAGGACAAGGAAGAAATGGTCAGTTAGCCATTTCTTCATCTGTTTTTCATGCTCCATATTGGTGTGTATCGAGAACAGAAATGTCAGCGAACAGGTGACTCCATTACATTTACATGTTTCCATTTCAGCACTTCTGTCAATTTCTAATTGCAACAAAACGTGACTGCGACTATAAAGGGACAGTTCACCATAGCTTGCAGTAAATGAGAAGTAGACATGGTTCAGGCATGATCTTTGTTTGATAGTATAGATTCAGGTGTGCAGTGTTTGGGAGGAACACTAATGGAGAATGAAGTGAATGAGACACATGTACAGTATGTTATAAGTTGTGGAATGCAAGTCAGTGAATGAGTGGCGTTACGGTCACCAAAGTTTAGGTTTCATGAGTTTAAAACTGTGGTGTACAGGTGAAGGCACTCTGGCAACCTGGAAAGAGTAGCCTGAGGTGGATTGTCCTGAAGCAAGAGTGGGATAGTGAATTATGCCTTGCTGAAGCTTTGAGTGGAACCAGCCTCCAGAAAAGAAGAGATAACTATATGTTTGCTGATGGAAGCTTGAGGGGGGAAAAGAGTTGAGGACCAACCTGCACCTGTTGGACACCAAAAGAGATAGGGGGGTAAAGTGGGAATCCATTGATATAGCAGCCAGGGCCATGACTATAGTATGGGCACCAGGGATTGTGAGGACTGTCAATGGAGAGACTCTGACCCAGTGCAGGCTGACACTAGGACTGGGAAGGCTGCTACAGGGAAGCGTACGGGAAAGGGGAGAGATGAGATAGCAAAGAAAGACTGGGGCCATATGAGTAGTGGGATAGACACTAAACCAGAAACAGAAAGAAAAAGGGGGAGAGGGAGATAGTGGAAGGAGTAGGATAAGAGATAAGATAAGATCACTTTATTGGCCTTATACAATTTCTCTTATCAGAAATTTTTGTTTTTGCAAACCCCAACTTGGTCTCCATGAGACACACAGAGGAGGAGAGAAGCTTGGGGTCAGAGCGCAGGGTGTCAGTCATTTATACGGCGCCCCTGGAGCAGCTGGGGTGAAGGGCCTTGCTCAGGGGCCCAACGGAATAGGACTCCTCTGCCGGCCACGGAATACAAACCAGCAACCTTCCAGCCACAGGCGCAGATCCTGAGCCACAGAGTCACCGCATCACCCTTATACCACCGATTATAAGACAGAAGGAGGATGGAGTGGAGATAAAGTGGTCATGGTTGTTTAGAGTTCAAGGAAGGCTGACAATCAGAATTTCTAAGCTTATCTAACACAACATGGGGGACTTACAATTGCATCTGATTCAAAGGGTTCATATAACAGTGGCATAAAACAACAATCAAACCACATAAAACCAGTAGGCGCAGTGTTACTTAAGGCAAGGATGTTGCACAGTGCTCAGGAGTTTCAATGCTGCTTGACAGACAGAAAGTAAAGAAAGCACAAACCAGCCCATTGTTTTTGTTTCTCAGGTGGACTAGCTGAACTTGTTCTGAGGATGATTCTATGATGTGATCAGCTCACCTGGCCGGAATCTTTCAGGCTCGTCCCATTGCCTGGGGTCATGGTGAATGGACCACATGTTCACGACCACACGGGTGTCTTTAGGGATGAAGTGCTCTCCAATGCTGAAGGAACCAGAGGGAAGAATCTTAGGGAATGATTCCACAGTGGTCTAACACATCTGAATTTGATCAGTTCTAAAAGCAGATTAGGTTGATCCGGTGCCGTTACCCATGTTTAAACATGACTAACGCTCAGACATAAAATATGTACAGTGTGGGTAAAAGTCGCATGTGTCTCTGTATTGCAGGATGAGAACAATACTTCACACTAATTAGAAGTAAGGCTGCTGCTCTCACCTAAGTTCAGGTCAGAACAAAATCAAAAGAAAAGGTTGAAATAAAGCAAGACAAATTACAACATGCTGATAACGTATCCATCTGACTATGATGTGTACTACTTGAAAAATTCTGTTTCCAAGCAGCTTGCATAATAGTAAGATGGACATGTGTGCCACAGGTCATGCCTGTGGTATATAATGAGTTATAATTATTGAGTTAATGAGTTAGAATTCTGGACTTGATGCTGTGATAGAATCAGCATTCAAGAAAATGAAGAGCACCAATGGTAGGAACAGCCTGCTCTTGTCAGTGACTTTTGTTATTTTCTCAGTATTATTCAAGCCTCTGAGCATTCAGGGATGTTCGGCATGGCTGCATATATCAGCTGCTCAGGAGTATGTCTGTGATGGCTGTTCAGATCTGGCATTAACCAGTGTCTACCAGTGCTACCATGACGCCACAACCTAGGTTAAGGTTGGTCGCTCAAGCTGCGGTAGAGTCACAGGACTCAAAATGTGTGACTAAACTGGTGAAGCAGCCTTTTCTCCCCTAGATTCTCAAGAACATACAAATAACCAGTATCAGGGGACTGTCTCTTTGAACTAAGGATTTTACCATTTATCTTGGCTGTGCAGTTTGCTTGCTTGTAGGTGTTTCTCTAGTGGCAGCCTGGATCCAGGTTCTGACCACACAAATGAATCTTCTGCTCACTTAGCTAAACTAAATCACTTAACTTTTGCGAATTCCACTTATGTCTTTGCACTTACGTTCCAATAGCAGTTCATTTTTCATGACAGAGACGCATCTTCTAATGTGGTGGAACAGAACTGTGTAAGATCAGTGTGAGTGGTAGGCCAAATTGAATCAGTGTTAAGGTTACATCTCATATAAGGTCTTAAATAATTCAGAGGTTGGTAAAAATTCCATATTACTTTTATTTGAATAGCCTGTGACACAGCTGTCTTCTTGATCAGTGACAGTGCTGGGGGGCCACATTCTAGTCTTTACCTAGTGTCCTGCAGGGCCACATGAGGAATTAGCAAGGGAGCAACGGGCCTGATTCGGAGAACTTCAGAGAGGGTGCTCTCCAGGTACGGAAGCTGCCCACGGTCAGAGAGATTGGGTGTACGGTCGTGCCCAATTTTCTCATCAATCTCCTGATGGATCTTTTTCTGAACCTAGGAGGACAAATGAGGTCTTATGTAGGGTGCACAAACAGACACACCAAAGGATGGCGAACATCTAGAGAAGTACCCACAAAATCTTTCTATATATTACTCCATTCTTTATGAATATTACTCTAATCTGTTGTAATATTGGCTCTACAATATCTGCACTTTTTAGGCAGAGTTGATCAGAATACTAAGTTTCTAACATCATCATCATCATCCCTTTGGCCTTCTCAGCACTCCCTTCCCTTACTCCTACAACTGGATGCCATCCTGTTAAAACTCTCTCAGGAACTCCCTACCAGTTTCTGTTGTGAAAGCTCCTGTTCGCTCCTTGAATCGGAAACAATCTTTAGACTATCTATTGTGATGTTTGTGCTCATACTTCATATTTCATTCCTTAGTCAGCTTCAGGTTCACATACACTGCGAACAAAACACTTTTTTTTTTTCGCATGATAAATTCTAGAAAGCCAGTGAAAATGCAAGAAACAAAAACCAGAGTGGCCTTTATCTCTAAAACTCATTGTACATTTTTGGTACAAATCTAGATTGAGCTAAACCTCAGCTCACCTCGGGGTAGTGTATGAGGAAAGCAAGAGCCCAGAGCAGGGTGGTAGATGTTGTTTCCACTCCAGCCCCAAAAGCCTCCGCAGCGGTCATGAGAACGTGGTCATCGGTGATGCCAGACTCTGCTCCCGGTCCATTCCGGCCTTTCAGCAGAACATCCATCAGGTCTCTAGTGTCGTCAGGGCTGTAGCTCTTCTGCAGCCATCAAACACATACTGAGGCTCCACTTCAACATCCTTGTACAAATGCAGGTCAGAGTCTTAGAGTATTTGTTATACGCAACAGACACTGACTTGCAATAGGCTGTCAGACGTGTCATTTTTGACATTTTAGATATCATTCCAGTGTTCTCCCCTTTGTCATTTATACAAGAATAAGGACATTCCCTTACTATTGACACAGTTCTGTAAATATTTTGGTTTTCCAACCAATATCTCTCGAGCGTGGAAAGAGTTTTAGACTTCTTAAAGCCGTAATTTCAAAAGCAGCCATGACAGCAGCCGTGACAGTCAAAATTGACAAATTAAGATGTAGTTCCTGGTGCTTTTTTGTCAGGAAGTTTATAAGTTCTTATAGACAGAAAGCTATTGTTTGGCAAGGGCACACATGGTTCATGTAGAACATCACCAGGGCTAGGCTCTGCTGCTAGAGCACAGTCATCCAAGGCTCAATAAGATAAATTGTTCTGGCGCTGAATCCTGTGTCAGTGTTTGTTTCTGAAAAGACAGAAGCTATTTGACTTCAACACTATACATTTTCGTGCATGTCGTGTTGAATGTGATCGTACTGAAGTTTTGGAGGGTCACATCCAACCAGTCATCGACAAACCAAGCAAAATGTGGTCTTTGGACATTACCTTGTGCTCCTCCAGCTTGTTTGTCAAAAGCTTATCTCTCACTTGAATGCATTCCTTCAGCTGCTTGAGATCCCTGTTTGGAAAAATCTAACAAGACAAGGTAAAAATGTTAACTTGTGTCTGAAGTACTGTAGCTGAGAAAACATTTTTTTTTCTTCCTGCTTCATTTCACTGGCTTTTTCTTGGAAGTTAATAAAAGTTATTTTTCTCTTTTTCTGCAGGTTAATGTGGAGAGTTCAGGATATACTAGACATTGTTTATCCAGTGGTTCCACTTGAAGTATGGAGTTGTGAGTTTACATATGAACAGCTTCCCGTCCTCCGGATGAGACATAAAACCGAGGTCCTGACTTTCTGTGCTCATTAAAAATCTTAGGGCATTTCTCGAAAAGAGTAGGGGTGTAACCCCATTGGCCCTTACCAATCATGGCCTCTTAATAATCCCCATCCATCATGAACTGGCTTCATTACTCTGCTCTCCTCCCCACTGAGAGCTGATGTGTGGTGAGAGTACTGGTGCACTATGGTCGCCGTTGCATCATGGTGATAATCATATTATTAATAATTATATAGATTTATTTTCGTTTCTACCACAGATCCAGTGAGGAGAATATTGCAAAGGTGTGTCAAATTTTGCAGCCAACAAGTGAGGCACCTAGCTAGTTCACTGACTGCTCCTCACACATGCATTTAGGGAGAGATCACTTACTTAGTTATTGCATAAAAAATAGGAAACAATTTACCAGATAGCCTCACCTAGTTCTTCACCTAGTGTGGCTTTAGTCATGGGGATCTGAGGACAAGAGGAGCAGGCAGGAAGGGTACCTTTAGCCAGGGAAATATGTCCACTAGGTTTCCTCGTGCAATGGTGTGCACTATGCCGTTGTTGTACTCCATCACCGTGTTGAACTCTGCGTCTTCAGGATGGTACTTGGAGCTGAAGACAAGGGTGCACACCACATTGGTGACAGCTCTGGTCAGCACTGGCCCGGGGTCCAGGGGCTCCCCTGCTTTTGCTGATAGGATGGAGCACAGGATGGAGGCCTCCTCACACACTGCAGAGGGACATGGGACACATGGCCTCATTCAGACAGCCTAGACGGCACCAGCCACCGGGTGGTGTGTTGTGTTATTTAGACAGGCGTGCCAAGACCACCTTGCCCTAGTGTCCAAACAGGCACTTTGTGTTAGGGAGGAAAGAAGGTTTGATGGCCCACAAATCTTACCAGCGATGATTTGCTTTGCACTTAGCACGCAGACAGCCATCTCAGAGCTTCAGCTGGAGCCATGGAAAGATTAAAAAAGAGGCTCATCACAGCCAAGATATTAAAACGAGGGCCAAGGCCAAGCCATGAGGCAAACGCTTCTTGGCATTAGAGACCAGTATTCCAGGAAAGGCTCTCAGTAATGGGACACACATAGAAGGAGGGAGGACAGGGAATGTTTAAACCACAGTGCCGAAACACGGGGACGATGACAGCGAAGGAAAGTGATCCTGTACAAATAAACATGACAAGCCCACCACCGCAATTCTCAAATGTTTAGCATGAGAGATGCTTTAAAATAAAACATAGCAAAGGCAAGCTGTGGCACTGTTCTCAACTATGATTACAGTGCAATTTTAGAAGCTTGTTTAACCCAAAAGATTGGAATGAATGCTGTGTGCTCTAGAGAGCGTTGCTGATAAAATTGTGGTTATAACTTATTTTAGTGGCTTATAACTAATTATTCACAGATGCAATCTGTAGGCAAGCCTTGCCTTTGTAAGAATTATCAGCAATATTTGTATGCGTAAGGCAGCATGGTGGTGCAGTGCTGCCTCGCATGGATGGGAATCCGGGGTGCTGTCTGCATGGAGTTCATATGTTTTCCCCCTGTTTGCACAGATGTCCTCCGGATGCTCGAGTTTCTTCACACAATCTCAGACATACAGGTAGGTTAATTGGCCTCAGGGAAAACTGCTGTGAGTGAGTATGTGCTTGTGTCTGTGTGTGCCCCGTGAAGGAGTGACGTCCTGCCCAGGGTGTATCCCGCCCTGCTCCTGTTACTTGTCGGGACAGGCTTTTTTTGGATAAGGTGGTTAGAAAACAAATGGATGAATTTACATGCATGAAGAATTTAGCAAACCAAGATTATTCAGATCGGATATAGATATGTCTTAAATGAGAGATTTGACATTCAACTTTGTTGTGTTGCTTTCCTGAGGGAAGAAGACAGGTTCAAAGAGAGCTTCACCTATGCCTTGCAGTTTGCTGCTGCCTTCTCCAGATGCCACAAAGGAGGAGTGTACGAGCCTGCGGTGGGCCTTCCAGAGAGGGCTGTAATCAGCGAAGGCAATGTCCTTCCCCCCTCGGCTGAGCAGATCTGTCGTCATCTGGGCAGCAGACGAGAAAAAGGACAGTGCTAGTTTGGAACCAAGTCAAAGAAGAGCCACCGTTCTTAATTCTTGGCCTTATAGAAATCTCCCACAAAGATGTGTGGGTCCAAATGCCCCAGTTTAGTGATGGGGATTCTCTACTGTTAAAAGGCGCCGTCCTTTGGATGAGACATACTGTAATATTGAGGTACTGACTCTCTGTGGTCATTAAAAATCCCAGGGAATTTCTGAAAAGAGTTGGGGTGTAACCCTGGTGTCCTGGGCAAATTTCACACTGGCCCTTACCAATCATGGCCTCCTAATAATCCCCGTCTATGAACTGGCTTCATCTCCATGTTTTGCTCCCCACTGAGAGCTGACGTGCGGTGAGTGAACAGGTGCACCATGGCTGCTGTCGCATCATCCAGGTGGGGAGTTCCCATTACTTGTAAAGTGCTTTGAGTGGAGAGTCCAGGCGTCCCCCCAGTAGACTCTGTTAGACTGTGTGGTGGCAACAACAGTTTTTCTTCACCAGGGGAAATGTCATTTCAGTGAGAAGAAGAGGGAGCTAGGCTCTGACCCTGAATGTTTCACAATGTCGGACTGAGCTTGTTCTGCAGATGGAGATTGAGAGATGCATTATCTTAAAACTGTTTCATCCAGGTGTTAGACAATACTGGGGACTCATTTCACAATGCTTTGGTATGTCTATTCGACACAACATCAGTGCTATCGATACAAAAATATTGTTGTTCTTATGATAATGTTTTGAGGTTGTTCCAGTTATAAGCAACTTTTAACTTTCTGTTGAAGCTCAGAGAATTATCTGAGAATCATTTTTTCTGTGTGGCTTGTTTAAGGAAAATATTTTCCCCTTTTCCCCCCGATATCTTACTGTATTTATAATTTTCCAGATAATAACCTCATTTTTAATTGCAGTTAGAATTGAAGAATTGCTTTTTAAAATTTAATATGCAGTAACTGAGGTTTTAAATTCTAAACAGAAATCTGTAAACAGAATATGTCTGGTCAATGACATTCTAGCGTGGCTGCAACAAAAAAAGATTTTCTACCTTTTCTGAACTTTCTGAATTCATTGCAATTGTCAGTCATAAGTTTCCTTCGATGCTCAGCAATTGCAACACTTGATATTAGTTTAAAAAAACAAGTAGCATAATTACACTGATTTGTGCACTAACAAATCTACCTGTACCTGATGAAATGCAATTTAAAAACAAAAAATAATAGGGTTAGGTTTAGCACAGTATATCAGCAGGGATTCAGCCTGTTGCTCTCCTGATGATGAGTCAATTCTAGCCAGCTTCGTCCATGGATGAGCTCCTGAAAAGAGACGCTTAGGAGCAGATGACGTCTCACAGAAGAGATCCTCTTACAAATATAATTTGTGAGACATACAAGACACTTCTAATTCAGGCCTCCAATTTTAAAACTCGCAAAACAAGAGATATGAAACCAAAAGGGAGAAATGGAGCCAAATATGAAAGTAACCTTTTTGTTATGAAAATGCCATAAGAGCCTTGAGTATGGTTGGAATTGGGTACTAACTGAAAGGGCTCAGTCAAACCACAGGTGTCTGGCAGCTGCAGTGAGCAAATAAGTCAGACTGATCAAGTCCAGGCCGAAGAGCGCTGTGTCTCCGGGGCTAGATTTCAGATCATGTTACCGAAATGTCCTAGAATCCGTCTAGAAAAAGGCTGGATGAGATCCTTGGATCTATGAACTACTAACATGTCTGTGACCTTTCTAAGTTCTTATTCAAGCTCAAGATCAACACACCCACTCTTTCCCAGGCCATTTTGTAAATGTAGCCCCCAGCCTTGGAAAGTATAGTAGTGATCTACAGAGCCTGTGTTTTAGACTTACAATTATTAAGTTCTAGTGCTCATCACGTATTGTGGAAAGAGGTATTTAAAGGATGAGTCACTCTAGAAAACCTATCATTAAAAAACTAAAATATCCGAAATAACAAAAATATCAACTTCAGTCAAAGGTTTCAGGGAAGCACTTAGGCAGAGAGAGAAAGAAACATATTGGAGAATACAATAAGAGCTTTAGCCAAATGCATAAATCCTGCAGCATTTTTCCCTCATTTCTTGTTTTTCCCTTCAGCTTGAATTAAAAATGAGCTCCTGTGAGCAGTCGGTCATTGCACAGATCAATAACAAATCACCAAGGTCATGTATTCAAACAGAGGCAGAATAATAATTTGCCCTAAACAGAACCCCTCAATAATGCACAGCTGTGAAAGGGAACTTTTGAAAATCAATATAAATCATAGGTTTCAAATGGATGGTTATCTCATACCATTTATTCAATTAAGATAAGATAGTAGCTGTTTAGTAAATTCAGAGTTACTGTTCTTGCACTGGGTCTATTCTTTCTCTTTGGAAATGACCTTTGTGGTTCAAATGCAGGAGAAACAGACGTCTGCAAGCTTCATAGAGTGTGTGATCCTTGTGTCTGAACACCAGATTATGTCTATTGAAAATGACATTCCCCCTTCACATTCCTGAGCCCAAAAGCTTGGTCAGCAAATTAGGAATGGTTACAACTACAGTAAACTACAGAATACAATCTATACCTTCTTGTTCATTGCTAGGCATGCTCTTTCAATTTGCCCTGGACCAACTGAAGCAATGAACAGTAGACTTGCTGACAAACACAGGTTGCGGTGCTGAACTGGGATCCCGGTGAGTTCTCACCTGAGCTTGGCTTGGATTTTTCAGTTCAAGTGATACACATACTGTACTGAACCAGCCTATGTTTCGGTCACCATTCTGTAAATCATGGGAAGGCTGATATTAATAAGCTCTCACCGTTTCACAACACTAAGGCATCATAGAGATCATAGAGTAAGTCAGCTGATAGAAAAGGAACGAGCTGGACGTGTTGAATGACTTCCTCCCGTTGACAACTTTTCTCATATCCGTAGGCACTTACGAACTCCTTAATTCGGAGGAACTGCTTGCTCGTTACTTCCACCATATCCCTGAAAAGTGTTCCTCGCAAAACCCATACGGCATCTATCCAATCTATCCACCTGCAGTCAAGGCAACTTACTGTTAGGCCACGCCCCCAGAGGACTCGCCATTCCACCTCGCATTCCAGCGCGGTTCCCAATTAGCCCATTTACCCCAGCCTATTCAATACTGCTTCACGCTCTCCCCTGTGCTCAATATTAGGTTTTTCCTGGCTAGAGCTCCCTCAACTTTTCGCAATTAATTACTACTTGGTTTTTGACTTCCTGACCCTGGTTTGTTCTCCGTCTACATCTCCTGGTTTTGCTTTGCTACCTTGGTTCTTGCTCCGGTTTTGACTCTCGGCTTCCTCGCGGCTTACAGCTCCGCTTCTGGTTTTGTACTTTCGCACTGGTTTGTTTACCTTCGGCTTTCGGCCCTCGGACTGTTTAATCGACAGCGCCTCTGGAGTTCGTCCTGGTTTTTCTGCGTAGGGTCCTCATTAATATTCCCTAACACTTACAAAACACACAATAATGTGTTCTCCTGCTATGCCCCCAAGCTCTGGAACTCTTTGCCCAAGAATATTAGAGAGTCACCTTCTCTAAACTCCTTCAAATCCAGACTCAAAACCTTCTACTTCAGAAAAGCCTTTACTTAACTGGCTCCATTCTTCACCCCTCTGCTCTTCTTAGTACCACCATCCACGGTCTCCTCTATTGTTATTGTTGTATTGTTGTAATTATAATTGTGTCCTATCTTGTGAAATCTTCTTATTTATTGTTGTAGTCTTCTTATTTATTGTTATTGTCATCCTGTAAAGCGCTTTGAGAAGCCACCTTTAAAGGCACTATATAAAATAAAGTTTATTATTATTATTATTATTATTATTATTATTATGTCTGCACTTTCTGCCTGCCTAAATAAGTGTTGGCACTTATTATACATGCAAATGTTTAGAATTAGAATTGCTTAGAATTAGCAACAACAGGGCCTCATTCAAGGCAGACTTACCATATGGGGTCTCCCTGCGAATGCCTTGCCATTGTGCAGCAGGACCTCCTTGGCGAGCGTGAAGCTGTTGACGACCACGGTGTAGTGCGGCCCCACGTACAGGGCGAACAGCTCTCCGTACTTCTCCCTCAGAGAGGTGAACTGCAGATGGAGGGGGAGGCTGGTCTTCAGGCTCAGCAGGCTGCCCACGATGGGCAGGGATGGCAGACAGGGCAGGGTGGCTGGGTAAGGCTGAGCCGTGCTCTTCAGCAGCAAGAGGACCATACAGGCAGCCAGCGCAGAAACCAGCAGCCACTCCAGCATGGAAATCGCCATCCTTGCTGTGTTCCCTTGTCTGAGGCAGAGGCCGAGGACACAGCGTGCTGCGGGGAAGCCGATGACTAGGAAGTGCATCTCACGCCTTGTACTTAACAGGCTCTGTCTGTGACATCACACAGCCTTGACAGAGTTTAGGGGGTCATGGGTTGAACGCCTGCACTCAGACGAAACACGTTCATGCTACTGCCTACGTCAACACTGAGATTAAATGAATAGTCCTGCCATCTCAAGGTGCCACAGAGTGTCTCTTCTGGAAAAGAAAGCAAGCAACCTTGGAGGCTTCCGGCAGAGCTCCTATTGTTTGTTGTTAGAAAGCCTTTTACAAGTGAATGGAAAGGATGGCTTTAATAATTTTTTTGTCCAGAAAGGAACACATACTGCTGGATAAGGCACTTCACCAAGTTATGTTTTTAATAGTGGAAGTGACATCTTCAGGAAAATGAAGACAATTTAATAAAACTTTTAAGAAGCCAAATTTTGCCCACCATTTTGTGAAAGTTGTTTACCCATGTGGGCAATGGTGGCACGGGACCATATCTTTGTTGTTTCCAGTTTTCAGACTTCTTTTGTGGACAAGATTTTATCCAAAACAGAACAATCCAGAAAAACTGGAACTTGAGCAACGATGTCATCTTCCTCCAACACACACCTCCATTGGTGGTACCCTTGTCCAATTCACCAGCCGACTTGTCCCCAAACTACATTCACACAGCTGACTGTATCAGCACATACTGTACAGATACTGTATCGGCTTCCCCAAGTGGAGACACCACTTCCCTCCCGGTATTGAAGTGCTATGAAGACGAGAGCCCAGACTTCAAACAGATACCAAAACACAGTTCACTAGGAATGGCAACAGCCAAGAATAAGGTGTATTGAAAGGTTTATTAAGTATTTTAAGTATTAAGTATTTTATTTTACAATTATTTGGTTTAACCCACCTGGCTGAGGTCTAACCTCCTGCCCAGAGGACGAGGAGACTGGGACCCCCTGCAGAGTGAGGGGTGACCAAGATGCAGCAGTGGAGGAGGAGATGGGGTGGAGGAGGAATGCAAAAAGAGATATATGAGGGCGATAAAGGGATTATATACAGTATTTCTGATCTTTTAGGTGAGGAATTGATGTCAGGATTGATTATGAATTGCTAACAGCTGAGGCTGACTGAACTTGGCTGTTGTCATCCTTCCCGAACTTTCATTGTAAACTCAATGAGCACCTAACCATATGGACAATGCCCACAATCCACAGGGGAGGTCTGGCACAGCCGCCCCTCCACCACACTTTCAAGCTGTGGAATAGAGAATTAAACAGGCAGTCACTTTCTTTACCACATGAATTTCAAAACTGTAGACTGCAAGCTGTTCAAATACTCTGAGCAGGGAGAAAGAGGAATCCTAAAAATAAAAACTATGAAGCGGTGAAGCATATTCATTTTAATTATGTAGACCCGTGGAGCTTGAAGGGAATTACTGTAGGCGTTTTCACGTTAATGTCCACCTGTTTAAAAATGTTATTCATGTTGCTTTGCTGTCGTGGCACGGAAAGAAGAGCAAATCTCTGATAAAACCGAATTATCAGCGGTGTCGGTATCAGAGGTGCCTGACCACTGGCGCAGTCAGAGGAAAGCTGACGTTCTCCAGTGCTGTAATGTTGTTTGGACCAATTCATTTTCTATCCTGATAGACCGCCACAATAAGAAAAAAATCACAACACAAGCTCACCTGACCATGTTTCCAGGATAGTGGCCCAACAGTGAGGTTTCTAGCTTCCCAATTTTCTAACTGTCGCCTGCGACTTTTCGGGGTGAGCTTTTCATTTCCACAGTGTTCTGTGATCTGGAGCTCCTGGAAAAAACGGAACTCTCCCGAACCCAGTGAAATGGCAAATCTGCCGCAGGTGTCCTCCGGATCCACAGCTTGTGTGAGCAGAGATGGCAGTGATGGCCGCAGATCGCCGCAGCATCAGAGACACTGAACATCTACATGAGTAACAACGTCCACTTTTGTGAGAATGCCTGACATTTCTTAGGAATCTCTCTACTGCTGCTGCTTGATTCCTCTCCTCCCCTTGATTGGGGATCTCTGAGCAAAATCTGAGGTTACAGTTAAACATTAGGAAATAAGAACTTATTGATTTTACACATTCTCATTTGTTTTGCTCTTTTTATTCTTCTTTAGCTTTCTCATATCAGTCCATATCTCGTATGTTTTATTTTACTAATATTTATGATTATTTAGCTTTTTAGGGTGTCGCAGTATATCGATGTTGTTTGTCTGGGTTGTAGGGTTAAGGGAAGAAGTGTTTTGATTGAAGGTTATAGAATAGTGTCAATATTACTGATTTAAACACAGGAAAGATTTGGGAATTGGGAAGGGCATCTAATGAGCATTGCATCTCCTCCCATGGCGTTTTCTGCTTGTCGGGAGGTGGGGATCTTGTTTTGGTAGTTGTTTGGGATGGGGGATGTGGTGTGTGATGATTTGAGATAAGATAAGATCACTTTATTAGCCATATACAATTTCTTGCATTAGGAATTCATCTTTTTGCATACCCCAGCTTGCTCTCCATGAGACACAGACACACAGACTCCCTTGGGGTCAGAATGCAGGGTCAGCCATTGTACAGCACCCCTGGTGCAGTTGGGGTTAAGGGCCTTGCTCAGGGGCCCAATGGAGTAGGATTCCTCTGCTGGCTGCAGAATACAAACTGGCAACCTTCCAGCCACAGGAGCAGATCCTCAGCCACAGAGCCACTGCACCACCCCAAAATATTCTAGCGAGTTTGGGTTCTCATACCCTCACCGCATGGGCTCAAACCCAGCTCACCGGTGTTGCTCAACAAGGGTATTGCCGGCTGAGCTGAAGAAGACCTTCCTTAATAACTATTAGCGGTAAGTTAACATCTAATGAAAGAACGTTTTTGTTGCTGTTTTCAAAGCAAGCCTATTCATTTTTACAGATTAATTTCTTAAATCTGAGAAAAATATAAAAATGACCTGTGGCTGCAAAGAGAGACTTGTTTACAGGATGTTTTTCTTCATGTTCCACAGGTGTCAGAAATCTATTCTGAGGAAAGAATGAGTGACATTACCCTCCTCTCTAATTTGCAGTGGCAGTCTGCAGTGCTGTATGTTGTTCAGTATCTCTGTGTTCTGCCCCTGACACTGACCAGAGCTGCATATAAATACAGCAAGGCCTCTCTCAGCCTTGGGAGTCCAGATACTAGAAGACAGTAAATCATCGCTTTTGTAAGAAGAATTTGTTTTGCATCGTTCTTTAATGACCTTCCAGTGTAAGCACATTGTAGATAAATGGGCTTTTAAACCTTCCTGCAGAATCCATTTAAATAATGGGCTTAGCTTACATTCATAAAGTTTTGTAACTCATGTTCCTAAGGATCACACTTGACTTGTAAGGTTCACATTCTTTATTCCATGGTATATATATATATTTGAAATATATACATCATTTTATGTTGGTATCACAATATGATCATTTAGGATGATCATTTAGTTCTTTCCAGAGTCATTGAATAGTAGGATTATAAAAGGCAGAAGAATAGGTATTCAGATCTTTGTACAAGTAAGATATGGAAATATCTCGTTACATGAGCTGAACTCAAAAACTGTTTGGAAGGTGAAAACTTGTGTAATAGATACGAAGTTACCAGTACAGTCCTTCCCATGTTGTAGACTCTGATTGGATCCAGAACTCAAAAATGTTCCCTCAAACACCCATACTTCACCTTAATGAAGCACAGAACAATACCTCAGTATAAAAACAATAACATTCCTGGCTAATTATTAGAGTTACATGCTTAAAATCATTAGCCAATGCAGAAACAATAGATAGGAGATCAGTTACACTCCTGCAAGGGGTTTAACGAGGGATTACTATAGTTTGAGATGCAAATTAAGGGACATGGGAAAGCTATATTAGCAAACGCTGTGACACGATGGACCTTTAAAAATGGCGGAGGAGAGCAATGACAGATGGTCAAATCAAGGGTGCAGATTTTTCAAAATTCTTAAAGTTTTTTTGAAGGGTAATTAAGCAATTTATCCATGAACATCCTGGCATGTCAAAATTTACCAAGCAGGCTCTTGCAAAAAGATGAAAAAGAGCTTATCATAGGGGCTAGAAAGTCTGATGCTCTCCCCTCATTTGAAAACTTTCTTAAGGTTCTACTGGATGAGTTTGCAAAACCTTAGCTGGGAAGATCACCACCAGAGACTTATATCCATTAAAGAGCTGCAGGAGCTTTTCAATAAAAAAAATAAAATAATAATAATAATAATTAACTTTATTTATAGATTACCTTTTATACAAATAGCAGCTCAAAGTGCTTTACAAACCAAGGGTAAAAATAAAATCTTAAAATTAAGAGATATCCTTTCAGTGCTAAAGGAAAACACGGTAATACAGTAAAGCAACATAAATGTCAATTTTAGGCTTGAAAAAGAAATAAATAGAAATGAGGAAAGTCGTAATAAAATAAGAACAATAAAAGATAAATAAAAAAAGAAAGAGAAAGAACAAAGAACCATTTTAACTAAAAGCTAAATTAAAAAGATATGTTTTCAAATGTTTTTTAAAACAACGTACCGAGTTTGACTGCCTCATAAAAAAGTGATAGTGAGTTCCATCATTTAGAGCATAAAAACAAAAAGCAGCCTCTCCACTCTTTCTGTATTTCACATGTGGGATCTGCAGAAGGCCAGTATTTGCAGATCTCAGGTCACGTATAGGTGCATATAAAGACAGACATTCAGTAAGGTACACAGGTGCTAGGCTGATTAGAGCTTTAAAAACAAGTAAAAGAACTTTAAAATCTATCCTAGATAATACAGGTAACCAGTGAAGTTCTTTCAAAACAGGAGTGATATGTGTTCTCTTTCTTGTTTTTGTTAGGATCCGTGCTGCTGCATTCTGAACAAGTTGCTGGGGATTTATTGTTTTCTTGGGAAGCCCACTAAACAGAGCATTACAATAATGGATTCTACTGGACCAGTGGAGGCTGTATCTCATTTGGTTACTGACGGTGAGACAAGGGCTCGGCGCTGAGACCCTGAG